TGCACCACTGTGAGCATGTTCACAATAACCTGCCTCATTCAACATCTCTTTTATAAAACCACAGAGGCAGATGGGCGGAGAGAGGGCAGAGGAAGCCCATCCTGATGTTCTATATATACCTCAGTCCCAATAGTAGTTGTGTCTCTGCTGCAGCCTGTCAGCTGGAGCACAAGCCCAGCAGTCAAGCTTGCAAAGGAGCCCCTTTGTCTGGCTCCCAACCGGGGCACAGTCGATGCTGTTTAACAAAAATGAAAGGGGGGGTCGTCTCACCGTTAAGTTGCAGGCCAAAGGATGTAACATAATGTTTATTCTACTTCCACATATGACGAAACAGCGATACAGAAACAGGACAAAGAGACCTGTGTCACTGTGTTTGCTGTAATAATACACTAACCCCTGTGAGGCACAGAGTCTCACTCATACTGTAAATGTGCGCTTCTTTTCTTGTTTTCCTGCAGATTTGCTGCGGAAACTTAGCAGGAAGTGTTTGCTGTAAAGTGAGATTACGGGAAAATCCTGTGTGAGGAGGACACTGATATGTTATGGTGTTTTTGTCTCACTGTGCAAGAGAACGTCATGTTTCTTTCAGTTGTCAGTGGCTCCTGAGATCCTCTGCTTTTTCCAGATAGTGTATTATCTGCCATTTATTTCCGTCTGTTACAAGCACCCAACTTGTCTCGCTTTATTTAATTCAGTATTTAAATAATTCTTGTATACTTCATATTCCTCGCCATTGTCTATCTAGGCTCTCCTTTTGTTGCTCTCTCTTTCCTCTCACATCCATCAGGTTGCAGCAGATGGCTGCCCCTCTTTGAGCCAGATTCTGCTTGAGGTCTCGTCCTGTTAAAGTTCCCCAATATTCCGAGGTGACTGATTATAGGGAATTTTCCTATTAAGGTCTTCTCTCAAATTATTGTAAATTCTTTACCTTGCAATATAGAGCAACCCAAGATGGTTGTAGCTCTAAAGTGGCACTAAACAGAACAGAACAGTTTTGTTTTCATGTTACTGTAAACTGCCTGTGGAGCAAGGGCAGGAGCTGTCAAGAACCAGACTAAGATACATATTTCTAAGCTTAGGCCTAGGCTGCCACTCGTTTGACAAACCACCTAATTTATCTCCCATTTAGGACGGGCCAGTCCATCTACTGGTTAAGAACAGTGACAGTGAACCAAAGCAATACAGGTCATAAAACATAAACAGTGCACCGAATGACACTAAAGGGATCCGCATAATTGCTTAGTTACTTGGAGTTGCTCGGCCCCATGTTAAAATACATTTTTATTTAGTACAACTTTAATCTTTACACAGCTGGGAAAAAAGAATGGATGCATGACTACAGCTTTGGTCATTCGTTTGCTAAAACCGAAACAAATCTTCTACTTTGTCATTCTAATCCTTTGCATGCAGCCACACTTCTTTTTACATTTACACCACTAGGCCTATGTCATGAGAGCACCTGCAGGCAACAAGCCAGAAAAGTGTCTTGCTCTAGGGGAGATCCAGCATGGGACGTCAGAGGAGCAATCCAGGTGGGAAGAAAACCTTTTCAAGTTTACTTTACTTGTCATTAGGGTACTGTTCAGTCTTTGAAACCTCCTATTAGTTGTCTTCTCTGTTTTAGATAAGCTTTCTAGAATATGTGAAAATAACCCCATTTGATCTTTCCTATCTCAGCTTGGATACTATTTAATTAACGAGTTAAAAAGCGAGCTAATGGACATGCGATACTAACTGCAGGAGTATCCTATCCCTTCAAGGGCTGTCTCCTTTTTGACAAGCTGAAGCAGAACAGTCACACTTGTAAGTGTGTGAATTATGTGAGTTTGGTATGTAGGGTGTTTGTCCCCAACGGCATGCAAGGGCAGGATGATTACGACAAGTGTGTTTTGAGCCGTGAACTGGGTGTCTGCCAGGGTAACAACAACAGAGCAGGATGTAAGATAAGGGCATGAACACACACACACAAGCATATGCGATGTTCCTCAAACACAAACACACGCTGTGTTCTTCAAACAGAAAACTCCAACTCAGTGTCATGCTTTGTCAGACTGTCGACAGAAGTTCCCCTCCGGCAATGCCACGAAAAGCTCTTACAAATAAAAAAACCACGATGTAGCAAAAATACACAAATGCACATGCGTGGCACGAGACACGTGTCAGCTATACCTAATAATCACAGAGACTTGACACAGATCTAATCTTCAAAAGTTTAATTAATTAATTAAAAATCACTTCCCTTTTCAGCTTTTTTCCCCCCTGGCATAATAATGTACCACAGGTTTCCCCTTAGACACTACAGCCAATAGATGAGGAAGCTGATGCAGGACTTGCTCTGCTGATTGATGGCAGTTTGAGATGTGGTGAGATGTCAGTTGGGGGTTGCACTTTTTCTTTTTTTCCTGACTCAAACACAAAGTATCAGCAAAGAGAGACACACATATGCAGTCCCTTCAGAAAACTTGAAGACTTAATCCATCACACCCCTACTGACAGACTCATGAAAAAAGGAGAAAAGTGAACACCAGGGGACAAAAAAAGACAGATAAAAGCCACAGAGAGACCAATGCAAACGTATAAACTTATACAGGGAGGCAGACAAAAGCTTGCAGTGTATCCCTCAGAGACTGGACCCAGGTGAATCCGAATGATGCTGGCACATTGCTCTCTACAATGGCCCAGATAAACAAAGAGAACACACACCGACACACACACCATGGTCAGTGCAGTGCTTATATAATATATTTTCCACTAACATGGTAACTGCACACTCATCTTCCCTGCGGTGAACTCCGCTCAGCTGGAGCGGACATGAAGGAGGACTACAGTGATGCACCACCCAGCTTCCTTCAGACCAGCATGTCTGAATAAGCGGCAATAAATGCCAACAAGGTCAAAACGGGACACGCGAGCAAAAGCTTTTACGCAACGCAAGCACATGCATAGATTCTAGCACAAAAACATCTACCTTCTCTTACTTTTTAAAACACACCCAAACACATAGTGTGCAGAGGTATTTATCTCTCTTTTTCTTTCTTTTGTTTTTAACACATCATATTTCTAAGGTGATCTGCTGTGTCATCTCACTCTGCTGGCCTCCAGCACATGAGATTCAACATCTCTCACTCCTGCTTTCTCCATACAACTGTTTCATATTTCTTCACACAGGGAGCAGCACAGGATCATGTATCATATTACTGAGGCTGAACAAGGCAGCCGTGGTTTTTTTCTTCTTCTTCTTGATCTATCACTTCCTCTATTATACCACTCTCTCATGTCAGGCGGAGGGATGGAGACTCAGAAAGTGAGTAAACAAGCTTGGAGTGAAGGCAGTGAAAAACATTTTGTATGTTGGCCGCACCTCTTAACATCGGGGAGCTAAAACTGGGTTGTATTTGCGATCGAATGCAGTAATGATAAACATTTCTATCATATTTACGCCATGTGATCATGGTGAGAAACTAGGCTACAGGACAAGCAGGTCAATTTATATTTTACAAGATAAATATAACAAATTTATTAAAATCCACATATGTACACTCTGAGTATAAAAGAAATGTTTTCCAAACTCATTTGTTAAAAACCTTTTTTGTAAGTTATTTTGTTGTGATTCACATTTTGTGCAATGCATTGCTCCTGATCTCATTAATAGCCTGCATCCAGTATTAGATAAACACACTTTAAACCTTGGACCTTGGATTTTATACAGATTCAACATTAGTGTGGCCGATATAAATAAGATGAAGTTTATTGACGTCAGATACTGATGTTTATCTGATGTGTTGTGTCACTTTTGTGCTGATTAAATGTTCAAAAGCTGTGTGATGGAGATCTAAATGACTTTGAAACAGGTATATGTTCAAAATGCACTCAGATTTACTTCCAATGCACAATCAGAGCTAACAAAAAACAAAATAAACTGGCACTGGCTATGAGGTAAACTGTTAGCCATAATTTCACATCTGACGCCGCTTTAAGTGCTGTAATTAATGTTTGATATTCATACTTTTAATGGCTAATCAAGATTAAATTAGCCAGAAGGATGGGGGGGAGAAAAATGAAATTTAGGACCAGGAAAGATCTGTGATGAAATAGAGAAGACATGTAAAAAGTGCAAGAGTAGGTAGCCTCAAGTGCTTCTTCTTCTTTGGTGAATACATACAGTATATAGGTCAGCTCTACATGCTGTGAAAGACCTTGTTGATGCCCACAACATACTGGGATGTACAGTGTATCACACTATCTTCCCTTCTACCAGAAGGCTGAGGGCAGAGCGCACACAGGAAAGAGGGCAACCATGCAAAGCTAAATAATGCAATGCCTCAGTCTCCACATTATGACCTAGTAAGTGGTTGGTTATACAAACACTCAGACCCTCTTGGGCTGTGTCTGACAACACAATCAACAGGATTATGAAGTCATTTCTCGGTCTAACGGCATGTCAATTCACCATTTTAACTTCAGGGACTCCAGAGGAATAACTGGAATGGGTGAATGTGAGAGGTTTGGGCGATATGTGGAGATGCCTAGATGCTCTTGAATTAAGTGATCTAGGCAGTGTGAGCTGGTGAAATGAATGAGAGAACCATGAGTAAGGAGCAATGTGGGTACTTGTCATGCAACTCCACAAACTGACTTTCTCTCTTGGCATCCTGTAGGCCTGTGTGTTGACACCTTTAAAGGGAGCAAAATGCGAATGGAGTGATACTGTTTACAAGACACACACACACACACATACACACACACACACAGAGTCTTGGAACACTTTCTATAATTTGCATCAGAAATTGAGAAAGGGCTCCTTCAACTTCATGCATAGTGTCAAATCTGCATTGGTCTGGGTTAACTACTGGTTAAGCCTTAGCCCTTCAAGTGACCAGCCTAACTTCTGCACATGTGTATCATATGTGCAGCAGCATAAAAACATTGATGTCACAAGGCACAAACTAAGCAACTCATAGACCCGTGAAAGCCACCCCCGGTTAAGCGTCCCACCCTACCTTCGGTGTGGCAAGTGGAGGACAGGATGGTGCTCGGAGGGCGGAAGAGATACGGGAGATAACGGGAAAAACATTTCATCTTCTTCTCCGGTGCTTGCTAACGGGTGTAGAGCGCTGCGTTGCGGGCTCCACATCCGCACTGCTGCCGCCGACAGCCAGCCACAGAGGATCCGGGGAGGTTCGGAGAGGAGGAGGGGGGAGTGAAATAGGCTCTGTCCGCGGTGCAGGGGGGCTATGACAGCATCACTTTTTCACAGGCAGGGAGGCAGGCAGGCAGTAGGCTCCGGTAGATCTGCGCTTCACCCGGGGAGCGAATAGCGCACGGTGTCAGCGCGTCTCCGCTTCGGCAGGTCTCTCCGTGTATGTGGGCGAGTTTGTCTGAGCAGGACAGGGGTCTCTTCTGTCCTCTTATCATGGGAGGTCAATGTATGTGTGGTCTGCTGGTGTGAACACCCTCCTCGTGTTTATTTCTCAGTGTATTTGGGTTTAAATAAAATAAAAAAAGAGCAGGAAAAGCGCAATTACATCTGCGAGAGCCAGGAAGTTTTGCCTTATAAATTTGGTAGTCTGTTTTATATTAAATGTAGCTAAGGGCAAATACTTTGATTGGAAATTACACTGAATGTTTTTTGGGGTGTGTATTACCGATAGAACATGTGTTTTGCCGATCTATTAATGCTACTCACACTTATCCCTGATGCCTAAAAGAGGGTTGTGTGGTGCACAGAGCCCAGAACTTGATGAATCATAGACAAAACTTGTTTGTAGACCAGGTTACCGATTAACTAAGTTTAGCGCCATCTTGTGGAAATATTTAATGTAGCTAGAAAACACAAGTTATAACGTCACAAAAAACAAACCTAGTAAACATCGTTGTGCATGTTTACTAAAAACGCCCCTGCAATTTTATCAACTAAAAATTATTACGTGGCATTATTTAAAAAATAAATTTGTTATGGTGAATAAAAATCTTAACGGTCACCTTCTTTTAGTCGAATTTAACTCCTCGTAGCACACGCAGCACTAAAACAAGTTTCAGTACGACGAAATTGTGTCATCTTTGCCAGACCCCTCTGTGTTTACGCTTGCGTTTATCTGTGTTATCATTTTAAACACTGACTTCTCGCGAGACTTGAGTGTGAACTAATGCCAGCGGAAGTAGTTTGCGAGTCTCTTTTCCGCCGGCCATAGAGGAGCAAAGGCAGGGTAAGAATTCCCGGCAGATGAATTCGCCAAAGTTATCGTTATCCATCCTGCTTTTAATACCACTGTGTGTCCGTATACAAGTGTAAACCCCACATATACTTCAGTACAATTAAAAATCAGCGAATATTGGCTTCGTGTTGACGATGGATTACTAAATAAACGCTGTCAGTAGTTGGTCTCCCTGTTAGGTCATTCAGTATCCGCATGTCGGTTAGCGATAGTGAACCAGCTCTACTCCTGGTGCTAGCCTTTAATATTTGACCTATTTTACATTCTGTAACTGTAATGGGCTTTTAAAAACATTGTTTTGGAAGTGTGTAGTTTGTTCAACCACTGTACCAAGTTTATGTTGCAGAAATATCCCGCTTCGGTCTGACGGCTATCTTATGCTAACTACTTGAGCTAGCTTAATAGTCGCCTTTAAAACGTAGCACAACCTAGCCAGGTACCTAATACAGCAAAATAACACACACAGTGGACATTCTAGGTTTGGGTTCTCAGTTGCTTTATGTGGTGTCGGAAGATAGTAGTGTGTACTTTAACCCTACATTCTTATATTTTCTTAAAACTGTCGATCCTGATCCACAATTTCAGTGGACTGTTTTGCAAGCAAGTGCAGCCTTTATCGCCTGGGTTTGTCAATGTGCCATTACTTGTTTCTTTACAGCATCATGAAGCTCAATCCCTTTGTAACATCCTCCCGTCGCAAGAACCGTAAGAGGCACTTCAATGCCCCCTCACACATCAGGAGGAAGATCATGTCTTCCCCCCTGTCTAAGGAGCTCCGCCAGAAATACAACGTGAGGTCCATGCCCATCCGCAAAGATGACGAAGTCCAGGTAATGTGGTTTGTATTGCTGAGGGGTTCTTTTTTTATAGCTGATGTGCAACATGTTAGGCGGATTAATCTGACCTCCTTGTGTATTTACATACAGGTTGTCCGTGGGCACTACAAAGGCCAGCAGATTGGCAAAGTAGTCCAGGTCTACAGGAAAAAGTATGTCATCTACATCGAGCGTGTGCAGAGAGAGAAGGCCAATGGAACAACAGTCCATGTCGGCATCCACCCCAGCAAGGTGAGACGTAATTGAATAGATACTGAGTTTGTGTGAGTAGACTTGTTCCGTGGTATAGTCACACATGGCGCTTACTGGCTTCATATCTGTTTGGTTTGTTTGTGTCAGGAAGATGTAGTCTTGAGCTTTTCATGTCACAAGCTCTTAGGCTGATCAACACAAATTCAATGTGGAGGGTAGCTATATAAGTATTTCTTGGGTATTTTGGGGTTCTTAGTGTTTTTTATCTATTGTAATTTTGAAAGTTGAGGTATTTTTTGCTCTTGATGTTTGTTTATTTTCCTAACAGCTGGCTCAGAGCCCTGTTCCAAGAAGCATGTTCAACAAATAAAGTTTATATATAAACTTAGAGTTTAAGTCTAAGATCTGCAACTCTTAAGCTGTGTCCACACTGAAAACAATTGTCGTGTTGTGCCTTTTAGCCGTATTCTTCATTCTGTGGTAGTCTTTTCAGTGACTGGTCTGAAAGTGTGAGGGGTCCCACCTACTTCACATTGATAACAGTTACTTCACTCAAAGTCGACAAATATCATTCACTTTTTGTTGTCTGCTTACCAGATTGCTTTGAACTGCTAAAGATTTTGGTTTCAGAACAGCTGATCAGAATATCTTCATTGAACTTGAGTGTTCACCTTTAGTTAAGCACATGCATGAGTAGAAAAAATGTAAAGGAAGCCATCAGTGGAGCTCTGACACCCAGAATCATAGGATCATGGGATTCCAGCATTTTCCTCATGTCTGGATTAACAAACCGAGGGATGTTTGCTAAATCTGCTTCCATGAGTAGGGCCCCAGTCACTACAGTTGTAAACTTCAATAGCATTCAGGTGCTTGACTCTCTCATCTTGCAGTCGGACAGACTACTTGACTAGTTGTGGTTGTGTGGGACGGTAGTAGCCAAAGGCGGTGTGTGTTGTGATCTGGAGATTGTAAACTGGTGTTATGGTTGATGTCGTTGGCATACTCTCTGCACATGTATGCAGAGAGCAAAGTAAAGTGGAGTCAAATTCCTTACTTGTTAAGCACAAACCAAATAAGGGTGACTCTGATGTATCTGATTCTGCTCATTGCACTTCAACACCACCTTAGACCCATTTAAATCTGGATACTGGGTGTTGTCCAGTCGCTGTAGTCTGCTGCTAAATTGATACATTTTCAAGAATCAATCACTGCATTAGTGCTGGTAAAGAAGAAGTCAAAACAAGTAAACATTTTTATTATGGAGAATTTTTCAACTGCTGCGGTAGTATCCCGCTGTGCTATTGGGAAATCCCTATGTTCCTGAAGTTAATTTATCAAGGGACCAACTCACTCCCACTTGTCTCCAGTGAGGCTGCAGTGTTTTCAAAAAGAAAAGGAAACTTTACATCGAGCCCAAATGACACCAAAACTCACTATGCACCAGCAACTCACTAAGGACTTCTTTTGTGGACAGTCTAGGATTACTAGATATAAGAAGATGCCATATCTAAGCCAGACTTCAGGTTTCTATATTACACGTGTGTAAAGCTGCCTGTTGGGCTAAGATTTGCTTCTAACTAATCATGTCTTAATCCTGCTCCCGGGTGCACACCCTAAACTCTGATTACAGGTAGACTTGAGAGAAATTTCACTTGGTATTTGACACAGTGTTTCATCATACTCTGACACTTGGTGTTTTGAGCACTGAAATTGAAAAATCAAAGTGACCAAATAACATTTTGTGAAGTGCAGTTGCTCTGGTTTAGCTGGATTATAGATTTTTTCTTTTTTTTTAAATTTGCTGATGCTGTTCGGTTTTAAATTGCAGTGTAATGCATTAAACTACCACAGAACCTCTTTCTGTCAGTTCTGTAAATCTGTAAACACTGGTGGATAGCTGAAGCAAGTACAGAGCTAATGGGAGAGCATGTGACATCTTAGATGCGGAACATTGGTAATTTAAGAAGAATTATATTTGAATTTCAGCATGTCCCTTTTGATTCATTTTTTTAATTTATTTATTTATTTTTAAACGTAAACTGGAAAAGCAAGATTTTCCTTGTAGAGTAAAAAAAAAAAATCCTTGGTTACAAAAACAGTGGGAAATGTTTCAATTATTAAGCAATGTCTTTTTGTTAAATTTTATTAAAGAGATTTGAAGGTAATTTCAGACATATTGCTGATGTATCCATGAGAGAATACATGTTTGTTTACCAAGATGTTTTTGTGTCTGCAGGTGGTCATCACCAGGCTAAAGCTGGACAAAGACCGCAAGAAGATCCTGGAGCGCAAGGCCAAGTCTCGTGCTGATGGAAAGGAGAAGGGCAAATACAAGGAGGAGACCATTGAGAAGATGCAGGAGTGAAAATGATCTTTTGCTATCAATAAACTCTGTAAATGGACCTCATGTTGTCTGTCATATTTTCGTTGTAACGCCCTAAACTCGGGAATGTTTTTTTAATGTTTTATTTTAAATATGCTTGTCTTTTTTATGGAAATTAACACTTGGGTATACTGTATGCCTTCAAAGTCATGTTCAAATCTCTAAACAGCACACTGTATTATAAGGAATTTAATGAATTGGCCAGTGCTGCTGCTTAATTAATTAAAAACAAGCTGTGGCCAAAATTGCATAGGTTTATTGTTTAAAAATGTTAAAAGTGAACTACACAAAGAAATGTTCTTTAATTGCACAATTAACTGCAAATATGAGTGTAGTTTTGTTACAGGCAAGGAAATTCATGTGACTGACTACACACCACCTCAGCTTCTATGTTAATTGATTTCACTATGAAATGATGAGGTGAAAATCCAAAATACTGTGCAAGAAACAAAAAAATATTTCAAAGCATTTAAGCCGAAATATGGAAACCCAGCATTTGCTCTAACAGATCCAGATTAATATACTTTATGGATCCTCCAAAGGAAATTACTTTTAAGGCACCAGGATAAAGGATAAAAATGAAATCGTATATCCTGACAGGTGTGTTCACCTGTCACAGAAGAAGAGAACAGTAGGAAACCATTTTGGTTTTAAACGAGCTGATGAATGAGCTCTGCAGAGAGGACTGTGGTGACCGTGATGGGTTGTCCATGGTGGACAGCAGGTAATTCAGTGACCTCTTGCTCCTCACTGAATGCCTCTGGGTCCCTGCTGCCATCTCTGACAGTGTTTGAGAGGGAAGAAGAAAAAAATAGATTTTGCAAGAAATTTTACATTAAATTTAGCGAAACTAAAACATCATAGGAGGAGAGGCTAACAATTGAATGAAAAAAAGATACAGGTGAAGCTCGAAAAAATTTGAATATCGTGCAAAAGTTCATTTATTTTCAGTAATTCTACTGAAAAAGTGAAACATATAATAAAAACTCATTACATGCAAAGTGAGATAATTCAAGCCTTTAATTGTTAACATTTTGTTGATCGTGGCTAACAGCTTGTGAAAACCCCAAATTCAAAAGCTCAGAAAATTTGAATATTGTGAAAAGGTCCAGTTGTAGGCTCAAAGTGTCCCACTCTGATTAGCTAATTAATCCAAAACATCTCCAAAGAGTTCTTGAGCCTTTAAATGGTTTCACAGTCTGGTTCAGTAGGAATCACAATTATGGGGAAGACTGCTGATCTGACAGTTGCGCAGAAAACCATAATTGACACCCTCCATAAGGAGGGAAAGCCTCAAAAGATAAGTGCAAAAGAAGTTGGATGTTCCCAAAGTTCTGTATCAATGCACATTAATAAAAAGTTATGTGGAAGGGAATGGTTTGGAAGAAAAAGGTGCACAAGCAGCAGGGATGACCAGAGCCTGGAGAGCATTGTCAGGGAAAGGTCATTCAAAAGTGTGGGGGACCTTCACAAGGAGTGGACTGAGGCTGGAGTTGGTGCATCAAGAGCCACCACACACAGACGGATCCTGGATTTGGGCTTCAAATGTCATATTCCTCTTGTCAAGCCGCTCCTGAACAATAATGTCAGAAGTGTCTCACCTTGGCTAAAGAAAAAAAGAACTGGTCTGTTGCTCAGTGGTCCAAAGTCCTCTTTTGTAATGAGAGAAAATTTTGCATCTCATTTGGAAACCAAGGTCCCAGAGTCTGGAGGGAGAATGGAGAGGCACACAATCCAGGATGCTTGAAGTCCAGTGTTAAGTTTCCACAGTCTGTGTTAATTTGGGGAGGCATGCAGGTGTTGGTCCACTGTGCTTTATTAAGTCCAGAGTCAAGGCAGCTGTTGAAGCTGAAGCTGACTTCATTTTCCAGCAGGACTTGGCACCTGCCCACACCTACAAACGTACTAAAACCTGGTTCAATAGATTCTCTATGGGGCATTGCCAAGATAAAGATGAGAGTCGTGAGACCGAACAATGCAGAACAGCTGAAGGCTGCTATTGAAGCATCCTAGTCTTCCATAACACCTCAGCTGATAGCATCCATGCCACGCTGCATTGATGCAGTAATTCATGCAAAAGGGCCCAAACCAAGTACTGAGTACATATGCATGATTATACTTTTCAGGGGTCTGACATTTCTCTATTTAAAATCCTTATTTTATTGGTTTCATGCAATATTCAAATTTTCTGAGCTTTTGAATTTAGGTTTTTCATAAGCTGTAAGCCACGATCAACAAAATTGTAATAAATAAAGGCTTGAAATATCTAAAAGGTGAACCTATATTAGTTTCACCTTTTAAGTAGAATTGCTGAAATAAATGAACTTGTGCACGATATTCTATTTTTTTCGAGTTTCACCTGTATAACAATGTGTAATATTCATATACTATTTTTCACGTTAATGAGAGAAATGTAGTAGAAATAAACATAAATATGGCACAGTTTGTCTTCCAGTTTGTCCGCTTCATTTTATGCATATGGAATATAACCACAAATAAAAGTTGGGTTAAAACGCAAATACTTTTCGCCATTTATTTAATTTAAGAATTAATGAAAACGTTTCACAACACAAGCACTTTGAAATTTGCAGTGCAGTCCCTCCACTTCCTCTTTCTCTGGTTCACAGTCATGTGATACGTGTTGCCTTCTGCGTGTCGTCGTCGGCTGGGCAGCATACATTTAGTTGAAAGTTTATACCTCTGAAGTCTTGTGTTTTTAGACGAAACTCACAATGGCAATAACTTCGTTTGCGATCGCGATTTCCGTGATGACTGTGTTCTGGGGTATTGTTGGAGGAATTGTGCCTTGGTTTATCCCCAAAGGACCAAACAGAGGGTAAGTTGGTTAGCTTAGCTCCGGCTGGCTATAAGGAGTTTACGGAAGGTTTTTATGTCAACGTTGTATTATTTTCTTAGTTTTTATACAAACAGGTGAAGTGTGCGTGAGCTAAATTTACTGTTGGCGTTTTGTAAAGCTGTTTATTACACTTACATATCACCTGTAAACCCTGTTAGCTACTCTAGTTACTAAAACTTAAGAGTTAGCTAACTAAAGCTAATTTTACTCTGGCTTAGTGCTAAAGTTCCTCACACCCCTTGGCAGTGAATCCTGCTCTTGTATTTCAGTACATAATACGACCATTAATGGATTCTATTTTTGGAAAAAAAAATGCCAAAGTCAGTACAACTTCCTTTATTTGTCTGATTTTCAGTTGCATCACGAGATCCAGCTCGTGAATGTGGATGAATGGCTGGATGTGTTTTAAATCCAAAAACTCGCAGACATTAAATAGTAGATGTGCTGTTTATATATTTAAAATGTATATTATTTCCCCACAGTGTGATAGTGACGATGCTGGTGCTAACTGCAGTCTGCTGTTACCTTTTGTAAGTATTCACCATCCGGATTCCTTTTTTTTTTTTTTTTTTCCACAGACAGGCACACACACACAGTGGTACTATATATATCTAAAAACAATAGAGGAAGCCTGCAATGAATCAGGCCTATAATATAAATGGCTGAAGTGAGCAGTCAGTTAAATATAAGAGAACTATCTTCTTGATAGGTGATTAATGCATTTGGATAATTACAAATTGGTCCACTTCTGTTGCTCCAAGTTAATTGATGCACGTTGCTTGAAAATAAAGCAGACTATGCGTATCTTATTTAAGTCATAAATTATTTACATTCACAGTTTTGAATGCATCTGGTGTTTTGTTGCATGCTGGCAGACAAAAGGGGGCAGTATAGTCACAGTAGTGTTACAGCCATGTGAGGTTAATCTCCCAAATGCCCCCCAAGCTTGATGCTGTTATAATAAACCCAGGAGCTGGTTGCAGTGTTGTGACAAACCGTGGTGTTCATTCAAGATGACATTTTTATTAGAAAATATGATGTGAGTGTTTTGTTTGTGATCTTGATGGTGTCCTCTCTGTTCACCCAGCTGGTTGATAGCCATTCTGGCCCAGTTGAACCCGCTGTTTGGGCCTAGCCTGACCACTGATGTTATTTGGTACCTGCGCTATCACTGGCCTTAATTTGCCTTTCTGGGGCTCCCAACCCTTAAGGTAAGCTTAAGACTATACCTACATGCTACTTTTATGTAATATATTAATACTTGGATGCCTCTCGTCTAATGTTGTGTTATTATTCTCTCAGCAACAGGATGACCTTGCAGTGCTGCACACCAGTGGATGTTTGCCATTGCAGAGATCAGTTGTCCCCAATTGCCTTAAAACTCTGAACCCTGTATGATTATTGAGTGGCACCAGTGCCTTGTGTATATAATGACTCCCAAAGGGCTGTGAGATCTGTGTGGATGTGCTGTGACCTAAATTAAAGTAACATTTCCTTGTTGCAGTTTTGTTTATATATTATGTACATTGTGTTCAACAATATTGTTAGCATGGATAGCAGTTGTTGTGTGAGTGTGTGTGTGTGTGTGTGTATGTGTGAAGTTTGTGTCAGCTGGTTCATCAGATAATTAATAAATTAATAAACAAATCATTCATCCATAATTGTTTGTAATTATATATATTTTTCAAATATAAAAGTGTTCCTTTCTACATAATTATGTTGAAAGTCATTTACACATTAAACACATTTATGTCACTAAAATATTTTTCATAGGGCATAGATAATGCTGTTGTTTTTTTGTAACTTGTCTGAAAAAAATGACCCCATAAAACATTTTTCATGCAGTCATTATTGATAACGACGTTTTTTGCGTAACAAAACACGTCAAACAGCGACGTTGACGTACGGACTTCAAATTGGCCTCTTTGCTTTCCGTAGCTCCAGCCGGCTACGTTGGCAACATGGCGTCGTCAGATGTCCACGTCCGAATATGCGAACAAGAAATACTCAAATATGACTTGGAAATTAAAGCTCTCATCCAGGTGCGAATATTTCTTTGGTAAGACTGCTTAGTGCTGCGACGGGACACGTTATTTTTTGAGCGTGTCACATAGCGGAGTTGTATTAACTTGGCCTGATTTTATGAGGTGTAGCGACCGTCTCCGAAAGCCTGCACCGGAACATTTTCTATCAAAGTTACAAAGAGGCTGTAAAAAAAAGAATATTTTCAGCCAAGATTTTATGAACAAGATGTTGTAATAATAATGTAGATAACCAGCCGGTGTTGTGTTGCGCTAACTAGTGATTTCCGGTATATACCAAATGATGATCCTCCCAAAACAGGTCACTTCTTTATTTTAACCCCTTCATAAATCCCGTTGACTGCAGCCCGTTTACATTATAAGCAAAACGAATACTTGCCATAAAAACACACCTGAGATCACTTTTTGGTACGTCACCTGTATTTAAACTGTTTAAAATAACTTAAAGCTCTAGTGTGTTAAATATTTCTATCTTAAAGCTAATAGAAAACTATTTAGATTCAGAAAATTGAGATTGAGATTAAACAGCTCCTTTTTGTAGGAGAGATGTGGCCAAGAGGCTAAGAAATATTTGCAATGTTTCTTATTTCTTTATTCTCTATATTTTTAAGTCCTGTTGACTACAACCTGTTTATCGGTGTAAAAAAAAAAAATCTTTCTGGCAGCAGGTATTTAGATGTTTTCATTTAAACGAAGGATTAATGTAACCTATGGACCTAAATAAAAATCTACCTTTATTAATCTTTTTCAAGTAGTCAATGGACAGAAAAGCAATTCAATAAAAGGCGCGCTGGAAAATCAAGCAGTATTTTCCAAACATGTACCGGATCAAGTGTCTCACTTTTGCAACACTAGTAAGCACAAGGCAGTGTAGGACCATATTTGGTAGAAACTATTCATATTTTAAAATGATTTTAGAGCATATTTAAATATAAATGGGTAAGTTAAACTCTATTTTGCAAAACTTGTCAAAAAATATTAGAAAGCTGGTTAATTTGGGGGGAAGTGTCGATAAATAAATACATTTTAAAAAATCCGCATTGCAGGAAAAAGTGAAAATAGTTAAAAGGTGAGGAGGAGGTCTAAAACAGTGCGAATTCCACAGTTCAGCTTGAGAAAGCAGTGTTAATATGCAGAACAGCTGTCCTTTCAACATGTGAACAGTAACAGCAGTGTAGCAATGAAATGTCATGACTTTTATCCTTGGTTCAACATTTTACCAGGATATCAGTGAGTGCACAGGCCCTCAAAGCAAGCTGACAGAATTAAATGGAGAAGTGAAAAAGAACTTCCTCAGCTTAAGACTACGGATTCAGGTGAGAGATTTTTCCCAATTAATAGGCTGTACATCGGTTGCTTGAACTTTTTTTTCTTTTAATTGTAAGCCCTTGTGGTTGTTTTGCTTCCATGTTAGGACTTTGAGCAGATGGCAATGGAGCAGGACAAAGAGTCAGACAAGCAGGCCTTGATGACTCAGGTAGAAGGCCACAGAAAACAGATGCTCAGGTAATGCCTTTAGCCCACTTTAACACTTTAAAAGTCTACTTAATAAAAGCTTATTCATTTTCTTTTTTGTATTTTTTGCAGTAACCAGACAACCTGGAGGAAAGCCAACCTGGCCAGCAAACTTACAATCGACAACATGGAAAAGCAGGCCCTTCTTAATGGAGCTGATGATTCTGTGAGACAGAGGTGAGCTGAAGATTATCCTAATATTTAAAGACCACTAAATCTCAGCTTTGCACTTAAGCAACGTTTGCTTAAATGCAAAGAAAAAAGACTATCGGGGAGCGTGCTTTTCTTTACGTGCCCCATTTTTGTGGCACAATCTCCCTCAAGATATTAGGCAGGCATGCTCGGTGGAGGTTTTTAAAGCTAAGTTGAAGACCCACTTGTTCACCCTATCCTACATGTCTTAATTCTATGCCATTTAGTTTTAAATTTTTTTATTGTTTTTAACTTTTATTATGTTTTTAACTTGTTATTGTGTTTTTAACTTGTATTGCTGTGTATCGCTTTTATTTATTTATCTCTTTATTTTCAAATAAAGAGATAAAAATATTATTATTATTATTATTATTATTATTATTATTATTATTATTATTATTATGTGATGCATTCTGTTTGCATGCATTCTTTTTAAATCAGGAAGATGGCCAAAGAGGGTCTGGCCCAGACCACCAGCGACATCACCGAAAATCTTATGAGCATCAGCCGAATGATGGCCCAGCAAGTTCAGCAGAGCGAGGAGACCATAACGTCACTAGGTTGGTGAATGAACAGTATCCTGTTGTTTTGATATACTTGTTTAATTTTAAATGGCATTAAAGCATTCTTGCTTACTGAGAGTAATTTAACAGGTTACACTGTGTTAATGCACACGCTCGGAATATAATGTCTATTTATATCAGTGACAAATGTGTAGCCCCACATTTTTTTTCTTTTCTGTTTAAAGCAACCTCCTCCAGAACGATCCAAGAGACAAATGATGAGTTTAAGACAATGACAGGGACCATTCAGATTGGGAGAAAACTCATCACCAAGTACAACCGGAGGGAGCTCACCGACAAGCTGCTCATCTTCCTGGCGTTAGCTCTGTTTCTCGCAACAGTGCTCTACATCCTAAAGAAGAGACTGTTCCCCTTCCTGTAGACCAGAAGGGTTCTCCCGTGAGCATGAATGGTACTTTCCATAGTCAGTGGGAATGATTTAAACAACTCTGAATGCTGCGTGCTATGCTAGACGCATTACGGCGTCTGCACGGCGGAATGCGAACCGCTTACTTGACTGTACTGAGACGCTGCTGAGAGTGAAATATTGTCCACACAGAGGGAGAGCGACCTACAGGCCTGCAGCTCAGAGGCAGACTAAAGGAAAAAAAATATTTTGGCTTCAGGATGTAAAACGTGTCTTTGTGTGAGGGGAAACTTGTTTGCTGATTATTATGAAACATGAAATATGGTACAGCATGAGTAATATCATGGTTTCATTTGGAAAAAAGAAAAGTCATTTTTAGCTTCAACAGTTTTTTTATTGGCAAGTCAATCACTGAACTATTAAAGTAGCATGCAATGCTATTAATTACTGTTAATTCAAGGCAAAAAATGCTATGTAATGACATTATATTACAGACATATATATTTGGGATCAAAACAAGGCCTGTACATGTTTTTGCATCACCAGTGGAAACCAAGCCATTTACCACGATCCAGTTTCCCACAATTACTGTTAATAACGTTCCAGCTTTATATGTAAATGCTATTTGTGGGAATGCACTGTGCAACTTACATTACTGTACTCCGTAATGATGAATTAATGTTGTTTATGTGAAAAGAATATTTAAGTACTTTTTAACTTTATTATGATTCAGGCTCAATTGCACTCACTCCTCACTGTGTTTTCCTACTTGAACAGCACTCGTAGGTTGTATATACACTTCTAACTGTCCCTATGTTTATTCACTTGGCATGCAAATCAAAGTAAAAAAAACAAACCCTTTATTAAGTGTAAGACTGGATGCAGTCTGCTCCGTCTCTGCCGGTGTGGCTCTGCAGCAGAGCAGAAAAGCTCCGAAAAGCACCAGCAGTGTTCGCACTGGCAGAGATAGGACAGCATGCAGCCCTGCCTTTCTTCAGATAAGACCCGGAAAAGCAGATTATTCCAACCTGTTTCCCTCTCCCTTTCCAGCATGAGTGGAGGGTGAGGGATATTTTTAGGTTTGTGTGGCGCTGTTATCTGACGTTCCCTTTTCAACACTACAGAGGAGAGGGTGGCCAGAGAAGCCACATGACCTTGCCACCCTTTGGGCAATTGCCTGGCATTGCTGTTTCATTTTTATTATTTGTAAATGTCATCGCTAATTATTAATAAACACAGTGGCTCCCGTCTTCTTTAGTGTGTCTCAAATGTGCATTTGTCACTGTATTGTTTACAGTAAGATAGCAGACAATAGAGTATGTGTGAAGAGACCTGAGAGATGCCTAAGCATCTCTTACTTGTGTAAAGTGGCGGCAGTTGGACAGAGCCAATTTCCAGCCTGTTCGTATAGCCGCACACTTAGACAAAGCCTTTGGCTCTCTGTCAAGCAAATTGGGCCATTCTTGCATTTAGCACCAAGATACTGACAATTGAGTGTTTGGGTTTGTATCTGGATAAGTGGGCAGAGGTCTCTGAAGTGTACACGACACCACACTGATGGTGTAAACACGGGGATCGGGTGGCTAATGGGAGACCTCGGCAACTTCACATTCATTTAGTAAATTTGACTTTATAGAGCTTTGGTATTGTTAGTATTTAATACATCATTTTGATACTAGGTGTATGTTCAGTTGGAGAGTAACAGCTGTGTTACAATAAAAAGCGAAAGGTTATGTTACGGTAATTTTCAGCAATCCAATGTACTGTCCATAAAAAGTTACATATATTTGATCTGGTCACAGCTTGCATTTGCCACCATGTTTC